AGACGCTTGAGTTATAGTCCTAGAGTCAATATTTACAAGCAGGTGAAAAGTTATTTAAAATCTCTGTACTTCTTTTTTCCCCCCAGAAATAAATGTGGATTAATACTATCTTTCTTCATTCTTTTGAAAAATATTTGAGTGCCTAAACTGTCCCAGGGATTATTCTAGGTTCTGAAGACAGCAGTGAACAAAACCAATAAGATGCCTTGTGGGTATATACCAGGATTAAGTAAGAAAACGGGTGTCAAGTGCTTAGAATAGTTGCAGATAGAAAATCTGCTCGGCAATTTTCTTTTGCTTAACAGATATTTATTGACTACCTACTGTAGGGGAGGAAGACGTTTCCTCTTCCCAAATGTGGGTTCGTCTGGCTGGAGAACGAATTAAATTCACATGAGACAGAATAGCAAGAGAAAATTAAACAAAGCTTTATGAAGAACCATGGCCTGGGGCCGTTCTTCCCGAAGGAAGAAAGGACACCGAAGAAGTGGGGTGCACATAGTGGTTATATACCCCCAATATATGGGGTTTCACATGTGATTGAAATGTCCCTCCCACAATAGTCACAAGATTGCCCTGTCAGCACAGTGCTTGATGGACACAGCAGGTAGTGGTCTGCTGTCTCAGAGGGCGTAGCAGGAGGCAAGTCTATCGTCTGGAGCTGGGCGGTCAGAGGTGAGCGCAGCAATCAGTTCCTAGCCTAAGGAAAGATGCTTAATCCTTAAAGAAATGCCAACATTGGGAGGGGGAGGGAAGTCAGTTACAGGAGGTTACCAGACAAGCACAATAAAATGCAGATTTAAGTCTTTGCCTTTGGTATTGATTAAGAGTTTCTAGAGAGAAGGTCATCTCCTTTCTTCTTCCTGGTACAGAGAGGGAGGCACCTTTTACAGATAGAGATTTACCTTACAAATGTAAATGTGTCGTAAGGAAGGGCACGTTCCATTCCTCAGAGCCTCCTTCCCTGTCCCATGTTATCAAAAGCAATCAGCCTCAAATAATCCTGATGCCAAAGAGACATATCTTGGGGTGGCCAATTTCAGGTCCCCACACTACAATGTTCCAGTCAGTGTTGTGGTCACTGGGGATACAGTGTTGAGTAAGACCAGAGGAAAGAGAGCAGAAAATAAACAAGCAAAATCAATGAATCAGTTAATTCCAGATAGTGATACGCGTTTATGAGTCACATGACTCAGGAAGGGCAAACAAAAGCACTCCGGAAATCAAAGGGAAAGTTTTATTTCAGAAAATCAAATCAAGCCAGCCAATGGAACAATAATGCTAGAAGTAAAAAGAGAATCAGAAAGTACTGCCAGGAGTAAAAAGAGAACTAAGCCCATCAACATATGGAATCAGAACCAATCAGAATACAGTGGAGAGAGACAGGAGACTTTGAAGCCAGCTGGGTAACCAGAAGCCAGCAGGTGGTGCCCATTATTCCTTTCTTTGGGAGGAGAGGTAGATTGAGGGAGGTAGGAATACTAGCAAAGCCTTCATGATACTTGGGCTTCTGATAAATTAAGGATTCCATAATCAATTATATTTGTGGCTATTTTCACTCAAATCATCTGTGATTCCTTGATTCTAGTCCAACCTCACTCCCATCCAAAAAATTCCTACTCTCTTCTCTAGCTGTGATGACCTAGGATTACAGACTCCCAAGGTTAAAAGAAACCACACTAGTCATATCACTTAACCACCTCCCTAGAGTAGGAGATACAATCTCGAAAGCAGCTACAAGAGAAAAGAAAGTATGCTGGACCGGGAGTTAGAAGATGAAAATTCTAGTGCTCGCTCCAAGTCACTACTGTGTGTTGCCTCAGAGAGCTCCATGTCCTCTCTTTGATTTGGTTTCCTGGTTTACAAATCAAGGATAATGATCTCTCTCTCTCTGACAGTTCTTATGGGGATTAAACAAAATGGCACATGTGAAAGCTCTTTGGAAAGCAAAAATACTCTAGAAGTGAAAGACATGATCTAGACGTATGGTTTACAGTCAGTTCCTGGGAAAAGTGAAAAGTACTCTGGCTGACTTCTCATGGCTTGTTTTGAAGCCTTGGTTAAATCACCACATCTCTGTTCTCTGGTTTTCTGGCCCCCAGTATGTGGGGGTTAGTCTTGCCCTGAAAGTTTCTTCCATGATTCAATGAGTCTATTCCCAGAAGAAAGTAGTCAAAGTGGTAAGCGCCTGACTCAACTGACCTTTGGACAAATACATTTGTGTATCTCCAGGTAACTCTAACTTCTGAAAGCTAGACTGCCTGGATGTTTGTTGATGATAAAATACAGTTCTTGTCTTTAAGTCTGAAAGGATGAGAGCACTTGAAAATTTTAAGATACAGATAAACTAAACAGAGCCATTCAAGTTTTAAAAGAGAGTATGGAAATTTGAAGAACACAAAGTTAGAAATTATAACATGATTCATATAACCATTTTTCTTTTTACTTCTGATAAGAAATTTTCACATATTGAGATGTATAGCTAACTATGCTTACTTAAATCTGATTTGGCATGAACTAAACAAGCCTGACTTACGGCCTTTCCAACATACATTGTATATATACTTTAACCATTAAGATGAAGATGCATTAAACATTATCTCAAAGTAAAAGAATGCATTCCTTGAAGATAAGAATGTGTGCTTTCTTTCTTACCATGCCAGTATCAGTACTCCTGAAAGTAAGTTTCCTTTCCCAGACATCAGGGTCATGTTGATCTGCTCATCTGAAACTGAATACCTCTGACACTTTGATGTATATGTAACCTGGGTGTGTTTGATGAATGTTCTTTGTTCTAAAAAGGTATAAAACTGTACTGAAAACCATGCTTCTCCAGAATACTTTCTTGCTTCATAGAAGCTGCCGTCCTTGGCTAGGAGTCCTCAGCCTGGCCCAAGTAAAACTCATCTTACCTCTCTTATCTATAGAATGGTTATTGGTTATTTGGGTGACACGTCTATCCTCACAGCTTCCCTGCTCTCCAGGGCTCTGCCCACTGTTTAGGTGATTTTGCATTCTAATTTAATCACTTAACTCCTTATTTGTAGCAAAAATAATTTTTCTATGTTATCTTGAACTGTTTTGGGGCAACATTAAGCATAATAAGATAGACTGCATATCTAATAAGAGATGGGCCATCTCCAAGATCCCAGCCTAGAGGGAAGCATATTCTCTCTAAAGGTCTTAGTATAGCTAAGTGTGGGAGGATGGCAGCATTAATGTCGGCAGAACGGGAAGAACCAGAGGAAGGAGAAATGGTCCTTGAATTCTGGCTGTTCTCCATGGATTGAGGAGAGGACATGGAGGGAGACAGACATATGAACATTTCTATAATTACAAGCTCTGACATGTGCTGGGAGGAAAGGTTTACAAAGCTATCTGGTGACAAGGCGAGGATGTGGCTGACCGAGTTCAGCCTTTGTTCACACAGCTGGGAGGTCTGAAAAGACTCCCCTGAGAAAGTGACCTTTGACCCGAGATCTGAGTAGGAAATAACCAAGCATGGGAAGGGGATAAGGAGAGGAGAGGGCCAAGAGCTTTCTAAGCAAGGAGAACTGTTGGTGCAAAGACCTGGAACAGGAAGAGGCTTTGTGTATTAGAAGAAGTGAAAGCATATCAGCTGGGCTAAAGAACTGAGCAAGTGGACTAGGGTGAGAGATGACGTTAGAAGGTAGACCAAGGTCAGACTATGCATAATCTTGTAGGTCACGCCAGTGACTGTGGTCTCTATCCTAAGAAAGCTGTTTCAGGAGATCAGGCACAAGGTTAGGGTGGTGGTGGAGGTGGAGAAGAGGACACCAAAGAGGTAAAATCGAGAAGAGTTTATGGATGGAGAGGATAAAAGGAGTAAGGGAGATGGAGGTACCAGGATGCTGCCTCGCCAAAGTGGGGGCCTTTCCTCATGGTTATCTGAGGTTCTGACCACTCTGTCTCCTCGCTCTTATTTTCATATTTTATTTCAGTGTGAGAAGTGGGGAGCTGGCTGTCGAGGCACACAATGTAATTTTGTCTCTGTTTTTTAACACTGAGGCTCATATTCAGAGAGTGAATGAATGAGAAGCCAGAGGAGAAAGCGAGCAGGCAGAAAGGCCAGGCAGAAGGAAAGAAGAGGAGAGTCCAGGAATGCTCCTCCTAAAAGAGTCAGGGAAGACAGAGAAGAAGGAAGAATGGGGAGCCGGGCGGCTGGGCCAGCAGAAGGGGAGGAGGAGAGCAGGGACAAGACATGAGGAAAGAGGGGCTGGGAACCCTGAGATGGAAGAATCTTCGGATATTAAAGCACTAAAGAATCATAGTCAACACAGTCCAATCCTCTCAATGTGCAACTGAGAAAATTTTAACGTTTTTATTTTATTATAAATGTGATACTTGCACTAGTAGAAATTTTGGAAGACATAAAAAGGTAAAGCTATGGAGCCAGCCCGGTGGCGCAGCGGTTAAGTGCGCATGTTCTGCTTCGGTGGCCTGGGGTTCACCGGTTTGAATCCCAGGCGGCGACATGGCACCGCTTGGCACACCATGCTGTGGTAGGTGTCCCACATATAAAGTAGAGGAAGATGGGCACGGATGTGAGCTCAGGGCCAATCTTCCTCAGCGACAAGAGGAGGATTGGCAGCAGTTAGCTCAGGGCTAATCTTCCTCAAAAAAGAAAAAGAAAATGTAAAGCAATTTAAAATCACCCATACTCTTTCTGCCTAGAGACATCCACTGCTAAGGCATCGAATTTCCTTCTACTTTTTTTTCTTTGCATTTTTAACCTGGTCGAAGTTATACCATAGATACGACTTTATGTCCTGCTTTTAAAACTTAAATAATAGTTGTAAAGCTTCCCATGCGCTATGTCAAACTCTTCAATAAACAGGAGTTTAGACAAGCCAGTTGTGAGAAATACTGGAGTGGCGGTGTCAGGACTCCTTGGACTCCAATGAAGCCTCTTTGCAACTTAAATAGCGAACAGCGAGGCAGACCATCTGACAGATGAATAAGGGCTCCTTCAAGTGGACTGGAAGCAAACCCGGAACAAGCCAGAGTGGGAGTCCTGCCTGTGTCTGGGCTTCGGAAAGGGCCACAACCGGGTCAAAAGTGCGCTGTTGAGAGACATGCGCTGAGGAGGCGGGGATGGTAGGGAGAGGGAGGAAGTCGCAGGTCCGAGTCCAGCGCTCCCAGCTCGGCGAGGCTCCACACGCAGCGACATGAGGTGCCTGCTGTTTCTGCTGCTCTGGGGGCTCCCTCAGATTCGGAGAACTTCTGAGGGTGAGTGCGACGAGGGCGCCCGGGTCCGCGCCGGGGAAAGGGAGCCAGGCTGGGAAAGGAGGCGACGCTTGGTGGCGGCAGGCAGAGACCAATCGGTCTCGGAAACTCGGGAGCCGCGCGAGCTCGCGGGCGTGATCCAGCCCGAGAATCCGCTGCTCCCGCCTCCGGTCTCCGCCTCGGGGAAGGGGGGCGCGGCTCAGAGCTATCCTTCTTCCCAAGCCCATCTGATTTTGTTTGTTTTCTTTCTTCCCTCTCGTTACACTCTCTGCTCTCTCGGCCACTCGATGCACTCCTCCAATCTCCATTCTCTCCTAGTCCCGCAAAGGAATTTCCCCTTCCGCTGCCTCCAGATCTCATCCTTCCTCAACCGCAGCTGGGCGCGCACCGACGCCTTGGCGTGGCTCGGGGAGCTGCAGCCCTACGTGTGGAAGAACGACTCGGACACTATCCGCTTCCTAAAGCCCTGGTCTCAGGGCACATTCAGCGACCAGCAATGTGAGGAGTTGCAGCATCTATTTCGGGTTTATCGAAGCAGCGTCACCAGGGACATACAGGAATTCGCCAAAATGCTGCACATAGCCTGTGAGCTGGGAAATGGGATCCTGGGCAACTACCCAAGGGAAGCCAGTGGACACAGAAGCCCAGCTGGGAGACTCTGACCCCACCTGATAAGATCTTTACTCTCTCCACCCTCTTCTTATTTCCACTTCTGCCTGAGACCTCCCAGCCTCTGACTCCTCAAAATATTCCTTGATCCTCCTCCCCCAGGTCATCCGCTCTCATTCCCATTAACTCTGGATCCCCAGTATAACCCTCACACCAGTTTCTTCTCCTTGATCCCTTCCAATCAATACGCTTCTTTGCCCTCCATTCCTCCCTTCAGATCCCTTGGAGGTCCAGGTGTCTGCTGGATGTGAGGTGCACCCTGGGAACACCTCAGAAAGCTTCTTATATGCAGCATTTCAAGGAAGAGATATCCTGAGTTTCCAAGGAACTTCTTGGGTGCCAGCCCCAGATACCCCACAGTGGGTCGCGAGAGTCATCGAAGTGCTCAATGACGACCAAGGGACCAGAGAAATGGTGCAGTCGCTCCTTAATGACACCTGCCCCCAATTTGTCAGAGGCCTCCTGGAGACAGGGAAGTCAGAACTGGACAGGCAAGGTGAGCCTGCCCCTCTCACCCCCTGCCCTCCCCTGTTGGGCTCCATCTGGATTTTCCCATTCCAGGGTTCACTTCCCTTTGAGCACTGGGGGAAGAAAAAGGAGGGGATGGATAAGGCATAAAGGTATTTATTCATTTCACAGACATTACCTGAGCACTCCTTGGGTTCCATAAATTGAATTAAATAAACCCTGGGGGTCAAGCAGCATCTTTGCTTGAGGGGAAGGATGAGAAGACAGATGAACAATTGAAGCGATGTTTGAAACATGCTCCACGTGTTACAGCTTAAGACAGGGTACTTAGGCATACAGAACAGCGGCATTTACAGGAGACAGGATCAGGGAAGGAGCATGAGTATCAGGGAAGGCTTTCCTGGAGAAGCTAACACAAACAGAGTGATGTTATGAGAGACTTCATCTCCAGAGGAGGAAATGTGGGACCTGGGAGTCTGCTGTGAGGTCTGGAGCCTCTAATGCAGAGTCCTCATTTTAAGATCCCCCATTCCCCTGTTGGATACAGTGAAGCCTGAGGCCTGGCTGTCCAGTGGCCCTGCTCCTGGGCCTGGCCGTCTGCTGCTGGTGTGCCACGTCTCAGGATTCTACCCAAAGCCTGTGTGGGTGATGTGGATGCGGGGTGAGCAGGAAGAGCCGAGCACTCAGCAAGGTGACATTCTGCCCAATGCTGATGAGACATGGTATCTCCGAGTAACCCTGGATGTGGTGGCCGGGGAGGCGGCCGGCCTGACATGCCGAGTGAGGCACAGCAGTCTGGGAGGCCAGGACATCATCCTCTACTGGGGTGAGAAAGAACTGGGGCCCAGCTGCAAATGGGAGGAGATGGCCCTCAAGCATAGAGGGAGGGACTGGGGAAGGGGTGGGACTTGACCCACTCAGGACAGAGAGTTTCCAAGGTGAGGCCTCTGACCAGAAGGGATGGAAAGAGGGGATGGCAGATACAGGAAGGACAGGCATAAAGATCAGAGCTCAGAGAGGACTGAGACAGGATGTTTCACATACAAGAAAGACGAGACTTAAAAACTCACAGACCCAGAAGTAGGTGGCAAGTAAAAACTCCCAGGAGGATTCATTCCCCAGGAGCTGGGACTTTTGAAAGGGAGGATAACAAAGGTAGCTGTGGTATATTGAGTGCTTCCTGTGTGTGGGCTGAGCACTCCCATACAGCAATTCATCTAATCATCCAACTGCCCTTTGAAGCAGGTACTACTGTTCTCATTTCATAGATGAGGAAATTGAGGCTAAGCTAGGTCAAGTAAACTGCCCAGGGGCTCACTGTTAGAAAGTGGAAGAGCTGGATTTAGACTCAGATCTGTCTAGCTACAATATGATGCCTCTCCCGTATTTGCAGTACTATCATATCCTGAAGTGGACTAATTACTGATACCCAGACCATAGAAAGATGGGGCATCTTAACTTCAAGAGGAATAGAAGTGGATACTTTAAATGGGGAAGCAAATAAGAAGCACCTGGCACCCTCATGCATGCTTAGACCAGGGGACTTGGAATAGTGACGGATCCTGGACAGAGAGACATTCTGTGTTCCCCCAGCAGAGCAGAGCCGTGCCTCCGCGGGCTTGATCGCCGGGGCAGTACTGGTGTCTCTCCTGATCGCTGGAGGCTTATTAACGTGCTGGTTTAAAAAGCGCTCGTAAGTCTCCCCTTTCCATCTCCCCCTTCCCTCAACCTCTCTCCCCGTATCTTCTCCTCTCCCCTTTCCCTCAATGGTCTCTCCCTTTCTGTCTCTCACAGCTCCTATCAAGACATCCTGTGACTGTCCTTGCCACACCTGTCTGTCTGGAACTCACGACCTCAAGTTCCAAGGACGTCAGTGCTCAGGAATTGAGAGTGAAAGAGAGGCACCTTGAAGCAGCAGAGAAGAGTCATAAGGAAGCTATCACATCATTTTAACATCTTTATCTGAGAGGAGTTAAGTCCTTTCTCAGTATACTACAAGTATAGAAGCCCAAGTGGTTCTGTGAAAACAGAAGTGTGCACTCAGATACCTACCAGGGACAAGCACATAAGGGCTGCGATGCACTGGTGGGTGTGCTCAGTGTTTGAATGATGGAATCTGCAGTGAGCTAGAAAGCACTTGTCCTGTCAGAAGGAAGCGGGTCCAGCTGCTTGTTGTCATGTATAAAGTAAGACCCTGGCTTGGCTGTAACCTACATTTTTCAAGAAAAGTGGAAGTCTGGATTTTTGTGTGAACTTGCCTGATATTAAAATGTTGACTCAAACTTTTATGAAGCCACCTCTGCTGGCTGATGACAACCTAGGGGGGGTCCCAGTTTGTGCCTCTTTTATAAAAAGTTTGTCCCGAATGACTTATTGGCAGTTTTAGGACATGGTTTCTATTGTGAATTTGGATTTATAAAGAAGGATGTTTTCTCCTTCAAAGAAAGTTAGGTTGTAAGAAACAGTGGTGTCTCACGCTTTTATTTGGAGTAACTTGATTAAAAGTGGAGAAATCATAGCGTATGTGTATTATGTAGAAAAAAGCTGCTCTCGGTACGAATATTTCTCTCAAATGGCCAGTCATTTTTTTCAGACTGGAGGAAGACAGTCATGAAGCTATCCACCCCAAACAGGCTCTCCTGCTTATAGCTACTAAATGAGACAATGTTCTCCTGTAGGGAACCAACTTGGGCTGAACCCACTTGGGCGGTGTGAGCTCTGGTGATGGGGGCCCAGCTGTCTGCTCTATTGGTTTAAAGAGAAGAAAGCAGGAAACTTAGAGGGGCATCAGACCTTCCTGATACCAAGAAATGAGACGGCCGAATTAAAATCATCTGTTATCAGGGAAGTAGTCTCTTGGCGCTCAGGGCCTTTGAAATCCAGAAAAAGGCAGACTAAACTTTTGGAGAGTCTTTGCTTGAAAATATTAGGATTTGGCATCTTCTATGCTGGACTTGCAGATCGAACCTAAGATGTGGGTGAAGATCCTGCTAGATCCTTCTAAATCAGTGGTTCCCAAATTGTGGTCTCCTGACCAGCAGCCTCAGCATCACCTGGGAACTTGCAAATTATTTTGGGCCTCATCTGAGACCTACTGAATGAGCAATCTTGGGCGTGGGGCCCAGTAATGTGTTTTAAGAAGCCCTCAGGTGATTCTGATGTTTCTCTAAAGTTAGAGAACCACTGTTCTCAGGCATTGTGTAATACGATGCAACAAATTTCTTAGAATGCTAAGTGGAAGTATTGGTCTGTGGTTAGTCAGAGAAGGCTTCCTGGAGGGAGGGGAATTTGAAGCAGGACTTAGGCAGTGAGGTGAACCAGCAGGTGCCCTGGATCAGGAGACCAGAGTTCTAGCCTCTGACTCAGTTTCCTTCTGTGCCAAATGGGGATAATGATGTCTGTCTTTTTTTTCTTTTTTAAAAGATTTTATTTTCCTTCTTCTCCCCAAAGCCCTCCAGTGCATAGTTGTATATTTTTCGGTTGTGGGTCCTTCTAGTTGTGGCATGTGGGATGCCACCTAAGCATTGCTTGATGAGCAGTGCTAGGTCTGCTCCCAGGATCAGCACTGGCGAAACCCTGGGCCACCGAAGCAGAGTGTGCAAACTTAACCACTCAGCCACGGGGCCAGCCCCAATAATGTCTGTCTTGGTTATGCTGCAGATTAAATGTCTGTGTCCCCACAAAATTCCTATGTTGAAAACCTAATGTCCAAGATGATGGTGTTATGAGGTGAGGTCTTTCAGAAGTGATTAAGTCATGGGGTCTGAGCTCTCGTGAGTGGGATTAGTGCCCTTATAAAAGAGACCCCAAACCCTCTCCACCATATGAACACACAGTAAGAAGATGCCGTCTATGAGCCAGAAAGTGGACCCTCACCAAACAGCAAATCTGCTGGTGTCTTGATCTTGGACTTCCCAGCCTCCAGAACTGTGAGAAATAAATTTCTATTGTTTATGAGCCACTCAGTCTATGGTGTTTTGTTTTAGCAAGCAGCCCAAATGGACTAAGACAGATTATCTCACAGACTTGTGGGGAGCAAATGTGGGGCCTATCAGTCTTTTGGGACCACACTGCCCTCAGGTGATGCTATTCAGCTCAGCTTCCTCAAGCGGTGTCAAGTTTGTGAACCAGTTCCACTGGCCTTTCATATTCTCAGGGCATGTGTGTTAAAGTCTCTTCTGAAATCTTTTTGGAAATTCTTCTGCATGAATTTAGAGTATCTCTGGTTCACTTTTAAGTGAGTGATTTATTTTGGAAATGCCTATATCTTCAGGAAAATCTGTCATTATGTACTCAGTTCAAAACATCTCAGAAAATCTTGAGAATTCATTTTAGAATGTGTTAATATTGTCTTTATGAATATGGTGTTTCTTATTGAGTGCCATGCTGATTATCAATTTATTGCCACTCAGCTCCAAATTCATCCTTCATTATATGCTCAGTGATAACGGATGGAATTCCTCTAATTTCTGCTTTAAAGTAGCACAGTATTATGCTTTTTCAGTGGAGGGCCCTGGAGAGACGCTGCCGGAGGAAGGGGATCTCCTGCAGTTTCCAGCTATGGAATGGTGGGTCAGCAGAATGGGTGCAAAGGCATCCTGTGGTGTGCTGCCCCAGCCACATGCCCAGAGCTTATGGACACTTGGTGACGTTGCAGCCTCAGCCTGGCAATAACGTTCTCATGGGCCTCTTGATATGGAAACTGGCGCTCCAAACGATTCCTGCCCCTCCCAGCACCGCATCCCCTCTGCAGACCCTTGCAGAAGTCAGTGTTAGTGGTTGGTAGTAACTGTGGTTAGTCCACCTGTCGCCCAGAGGTTTCCCCTGAGCCCCACTCTCTCTGCAAGCCCCCACCTGAGGTCTGGAGGGTTGCTTCCAGCTTGTTCAGTGACTGCAGACCAGCTCTGGCTTGAATGAACCAGCAAAATTCTCTGCTACCCAAGAGGCTAAACTACACCTTCTCCAATGAGGTCTGCATTCCAGCCTTGGGGAGGGGTTGTTAGCCTTCCAAGTTTGTTCTTCCTTGGGTATTCGTCTTTAGCCTTAGAGTTCCATGTAGAGTTTTCTTAGATCTTAGGGTTATTTTCCTATTATAGTTTAATAATTAAACTTCCTCTGTTTAGTTGATTGTGTTATTTCTGTTTCCTGATTGGACTCGCGTGGATACACGTGCCTACTTTTGACCAGACACAGGAATCTGTGGACTTTTCAAAGCTATTACTTGAATTTACTTTTGCTTGTAAGTCTATAATGTGGAATCGATCCACGTGTGGTGTAGCTCTTCCTCCAAGAGCTTAGAATTGATTCTTTGCCAAAACCATCCTCAGGAGTTGTTACCTGTCCCACTGTTAATGCATCTGCTCCTCTCATTCACTGGGGCTTCTGTTGCTTAGGGTGTAATTAAGAGGGGTGCTTTTAATAGTTAAGCCAGGACAGATGTAAACTGGGACTGGCTCACACAAACTTTCTGTTGGTCTATTATTTTCTGTTTGTTCTGTGAAGGGCTCAACCCTGGCTCTTCTGGACTCCTCCTGGGCCTGGCCTCTATTCTCAGGTCACACATATCTTTCCACTCCTGTGTCCCACTTCCCAGACTCTCTTGTCCCTTAGATTTTCCTTTGTCTTCTGTGTTCCTTGTCCTCCCTCACTTTCTGCATGGTCCTGCTCTGAGATACAGTGATAGAAAAGGCTTTACCCTCTTCACCTTCTTTTACTTAACTCTGGCTGGCTCCTCTCAAGACTTGTGTTTTTCTTTTACTGGTTTTACTGAACCATCCCTATGGGGTGCTTCCATATTTTTGTCCCCCTGCTTTACACCCTGAAGATAGCCATCTTTCCCATTTTTTTGTGAAAACTAGGATTATCCAGTAACGATTCCTTCATCTTTCCTCCTTCGTGGCTCAAAGGGTGGTTTTCTGCTCATGTTCATCTGCAGAGGAAATGTCTATCTCTGCTAAGCCCGACGCTTCCATTTGGGCTTTTCTGGTATAGCTCAGTGTCTCACCATTCACAGTCTCCTAGTCTCCTTGACATTCTAGTGTTCATAGATAGCCCGTGAAGTTTGAAAAAAAAGATGCCAACAAAAATCCTATGCTGAACCCTGTTTCCCTTTTGAGGTACAATAGTGTTTTCCCCCTTTTCTGAAAAACCTCTCCCACATGTGATGGGCACATGTGGCTGCTGCTTCCTCACCTGCACCCTCTCCTGCCATCTGGTTTCTGCACCCTTGAGTCTCTCTGCAGCTAATTGTTCCTATCTGTGTTCACACCCTCCTTACCTTTCCCTTAGGCTGTGGCAGGATCTTTTCTTTCTCCAGTTCGTGCTACACAACATTGCTATATTACTCTTCCTAAGCACACATGTCATTTCCTTTCATAAATCTTCCCTGGCTCTCCCTTGCCTGCCTGATAAGGCCAGAATCCTTAGGTGGGCATTTGTAATTATTATACTCCAGTGGTAACCTATCTTCCACTTATTATTCCACAGATGCTCCATTCTTTCCTGTTCACCTCCCTACATGTTGACATCTTACTCTTCAAGATGTAGCTTTAATGAAAACTGCTCTGAGC